AATCATATACTTATTTGTTTCTTCAGTTTTCCTACCATAATTGGTTAATATCTAACTAAATATAAAAGAGGCGGATGTCATATTACTGTTCATAAGCCAGATTTTCTCTCGGCTCAGCCATTGGTTTTTTTGAGCCGGGAGGTGGTCGGCTCAGCCATTGGTCTTCCTTTTGGTTTCTAGAATATTCATTTCTGTCATTTCGTGCCTTGGATTTTCTCTTTCTTCTTTTGTAGATCTGAAAATATTTTCTTCTAGATTTGGGTTTCATCTCGCAAAAAACTATAGAATTTGTTTCTTGCATAGATTTTTTTTCACAGTTCGAGAGTTAGGAACGGTAGTAATTTTCATTTTGACGGTACCAATCGCCATCTTCACGCACAGCCTCTCCACTGACGTTTTCCACATTGTTAAAGTACATTTCAGGTTTATTAAGCTTCGATTTAGGTTTTATTGAGAATTAGGCGGTCGGAACGTTGATTAATTTTTGGGATTTTATTTACAAATCGAGCCGGGAATCTTCATTTGGAACTCCAAACTTAAGCTTCTTCATCCTTTTTGCTGCTGCTTGTTGCTGTAGACTATCTCTTGACTCAATTTTTTTTTTTTTTATATTACCGACAAGATCTTCGTCGATTGTGGTTGCCATATTTTTCTTCCTCTTGGGTTTTTTATTTTTTTATTTTTTGCATGATATGTTCTTCTTCTTTGTTCATAGGTATGTTCGATTGTAATGAAACTGTGTTTGTTTTCTGTGCAGCTTAGTTTCCGGTTTTACAAATGACTACACAGGGCCTGGTTTCTTAAAATATAAATGCACTAGAGCTTGTCATAGTTCTTTGATAAAATGGTTCATAGCAAAAGTGGACATGTTTATCCATTCTATTTGAAGGAAAGATAAAATATGTGGCCTGAAATGTTAAAAGCCTTATAAAGGAATTGCTTGTATTCATAATTTTGGTTATCTTTTGTTTTGATAGTTTTGCACCATTTCTTGGTTCATCTCTTTGCTCCGTCTGACTATGATTTCTGCAGAATAGCCTGAATTCAGAATTTGCTGACTTTTACATTTAGATATATAAAACTATTTTGCATTTTGGTTTCATGTTGTAACTTAACTTTGACTTACCAGTATCATGCAGGGTATCAGGAGCAAATGTCACATTGGCCTGAACAGCCAAATGACATAATTATAAAATGGATAAAGGACCACAGCCCTTCTTTAGTTGTAGCTGATTTTGGTTGTGGTAAGAATTATGAATTGTTGCCTTGACAACTACAGATATACAAATATAATATCATTCTAGACTACCTAATTTGTTTTCCACGTTCTTTTTGAACATCACTGAATTTTAATCCATTTATTCCAGGGGATTCACAGCTTGCGAGAAGCGTCAAGAATAAAGTCTTCTCCATTGATCCTGTCCAATGTATGTGCTCAAGTTTAAATGAAAAATATAACTTAAATTTATCTTTGAATATGGAAAGGTACTTGCTTGTGATTAAATTAATTATAGTGTTAAAATAATCTTTCGAATGGGGCAATATCTCACGTAATGTGCATCTGGCTTTTCCTTGGAGTATTGTGTTTATTTGACTTTTGTTTAAATATTTGCACTCTTCCATGCAGACACCCCTCGACACTTTGTCTATAGATGTTCATGAAAGATGCTTCCATGACTTGTGCACCAAATTCGGCTTAATGCCTTTTTGAGCCGAACTAAGTAACACAATGGTCTCATTTCAGATGTATGCATATCAATTTCATCCACCAAATACTGATCGCTTGACTTCTTGGTTGTATAAAATAAACATTTAGTGTTTTCTTCTTCTTTTGCTACTAATGCATGCTTTCTATTTTCTTTCCTTTTATGGGGAGAAGATAAGTTTGTGTGTTAGCTATTTGTTTATTGTTGATTTTGTGTTGAAGCTGGTGCTTGGTGTTGATCTTTGGCACTATTGGACACTAAGAATTTAGCATCGTCCATTCCTCCTCTTGTTTCTAGCATTTACCTCCTAGGTTAATTGATCAATAAAAAAGGTAATTCTTTATTTTATTCTTAGCAAACGACCTCCCCTGGTACAGTAAAAAACACCAGGCCATCTTATGACTGCCGTCTTTTTCAGTTTCTTCTTGGCTTTGGGTGTTTTTTTTTTTTTTTGGTTGCATTGTCATGAATCCTATATTC